GGCGGCGCTACGATCGAAATGTTTACGTACGGACAAAATGTTTACACGGACACATTGCTTGTACGTTTTGTATGGAAGGTCAAATCCGCGCGAACCGTCGGGGTACGAGGCATATATCAGAAGATTCCATCAATCATAAACAAAAACCACGCGGTTGTAAAACAAAGAATTTTCATCTGAAATTCAACTTTTACTGAACTAAAAAATAAATTAGTGACTAAAGTACTCAAAATTAGAGTTAGAGTTTGCAGAACAACTCGGAGGGCCTGAAATATATTGCGTCCGGGGGTGCACAGGATTTGATCAGCCTTAGTGTTTTGTATGAAAAGTGGGTCGGTCGCCCGCGGCGGAAAATTTAAAAATTGTATTTTCAATAAAAGCCGTCAGGGAGCGTTCTAGCCGCAGTTTTGTTTGTAAACATTGACGAACAACAAACTTTATTAAACTTTAAATCTGCTAATCAAAGTAGCCTTACTCAATTGACCAGTTTTAAATGTTGATAAAATGATTGAAACGAGGCCACATTTCATAAAAAATACTGAAGAGAAATTTAACATGAGCTACCTTGAAACAAATAATGAAAATATTGAAATGAAACCAGAGATATGATTTCAGATGTTTTAATCAACATAGAAGACATTTTTGGTGAATTTAAAGGAGAAAATCTCAAAGAAATATGTCGTCTATGTTTTAATTCATTAGAAACAGAAAATTATCAAGCAAATATTATTGAAGAATATAAAAGCATGATAAATGACATCCTAGAAGTTAAAGTAAGAATTCATTCATTGTTAAGATCGATTTTCAAATATTTTCTTCCATTTTCAGTTGATTTCCTCATCTAAGGCTTCAAATTTCATATGCCAAAGTTGTGTGACCAGTATTGAAAGCTTTCATCATTATAAAACTCTTATAAGAGAGAAACAATACTTTTTTGAAAAGTTCTTAAAATCAAACAACTTTATCGACAACTGCTCTGAAGAAATTAAACAGGAAATCATTTTCAACACGATTTTTATTAAAACAGAACCTGAAGAGAATTCGTTAGTCATTCATCAACCAACCGATGAATTGCTTTTTGAGCATTTACCTGATGTTGAATGTTTGAAGAAAGCCTTAAAGGACATTAAAAATGGTTTCACATATAGATCAGCTTCTATAAAATATAAGATTCCCAGCAGTACATTACATAGGTACCATAAAATGAATAAACCAATTGAACTATATCGACCACCTGTCATGAATATTAAATTTCCGAAAGGAATTAAGTTTCAATGTGATCGCTGTGGCAAGTTTTATGATACCAAACATTCAGTGAGATGGCATTTAATTAAAGTACATTTCAAGAAACATATTCAACCTGATTGTGGAAAAATTCATGATGTGGTCGGTCGCTGTCAAATATACGATCCAAACCGAAACAGTGAGTTTGAATTTATTCATGATTTATGAAATAATGACTTAATATAGGATCTATCTAGAGCTAGCTTAGTCCATTTTTTCTCAGCTAGGCTGCTTCACTCGGAAATATCTTAATTTACTTCTATGGCTTGTAAGCAATCTTTCGAAAAACATTCATATTTATGAAGGAAAATTTGTATATTTGTATACAAGTTAGCCATGCAAGTAAACTGACAGTTATCTGACATCGTGAGCTAAGTAAGCAAGTTCACAGAAAAATAATTTTTTTAAGCAAGCTGAAAGTGAAGTGAGTTGTATCTATGCTTGAATGGTTCACATACTATAGCTACATTTATAAGTTAATTTAATTATATTTTCAACTGTTTTTGTCTTTTATTAGGTAAAAATTTAAGAAAAGCTTTAAAGGATATTAAAAGAGGTCGTAACTATAGAGCTACCTCTGAAAAATACAATATTCCTAGCAGTACATTATTTAGGTACCACAAAAAGAATAAACCAGCTGAGCAATATGAAAAAAATCTCATTAATCTTCAAACGCCGAATGGAGTTGGAATCAAGTTTCAATGCGATCAGTGCGGCAAGTCTTTCGGGAGCAAACGAGGTGTAAGATGGCATCTATTAAGAAAACATTTTGAAGTTGGTTCTTATCCTTGTGATTTTTGTCGAAACATTTCTGTCACTCCGAGGCTATTATTAGAACATCAAAGGAATAAACATAAGAAAAAGTTTTTCGAGCAGGAATTGGAAAAAGAAATTCAGGCAGAGAAAAAAAGAGTTCGTAAGGAGGCAAAGCGTTGTAAAACTTTCAGATCGTTCCCAAACAGTAAGTTTTAATTTATCCCATGATTTAAATATGTTTCCAATTTTTTTTTATTTTTTATTAGGTGACAGTTTAAGGAAAGCCTTAAAGGATATTAAAAGAGGTCGTAACTATAGAGCTGCCTCTGAAAAATACAATATTCCTAGAAGTACATTATTTCAGTACTATAAAAGTAATAAACCAGTTGATGAATATCAAACAAATCTCATGAATCTTAAAATCCCGAAGGGAGTGAAGTTTCAATGTGATCGCTGTGGCAAGTCTTTCGGTAACAGACGAGGTGTAAAATGGCATCTATTAAGTGTACATTTCAAAACTGGATCTCATCTTTGTGATTTTTGTGGCAAAAAATTTCACATTCCGAGCCATTTAACAGCTCATCAGTTGAAACATAAAGAAAGAAATATTCAATGTGATTATCCAGATTGTGGAAAACTTTTCAGAAGCGAAAAGGAAATGCAAAGACATAGAAAAGGACATTACATCGAGCTAAGAATAAAATGTCCTTATGAAGATTGCGAAAAGAGTTACAGCAGAAAGCCTCATTTAGATATGCATATTTTCATCAACCACAAGAAAATCAGAGAAAATTGTCCAGTTGGAAATGGCTGCAAATTTTCAGTTGGAAGAAAATGTTACATGAGAGCACATCTAAGGAAACATTCTGAACTTTCTCCTGAAGAATTAGAAAGACATATTAAAGATTTATCAAAGTTGAATCTTTATCAGGATTAATTCTTTTCTTATCGAAACTTTAATGAAGAATGAAGAAATGCTATTTGTATTTATTTGTTAATTTTAATAAATAATAATTTGAAAAATATTCAAACTTCCGCATGTTTTCGTTCTTTCGCATGCATTTTAGCAAAAAAAATTAGCATTCATACACTGCAAGTTTAGCACTAAATTGAAGTTGATCGTCTTTATCATCTTAAAAAAGAAAAACTTCTTAAAATAAATAATTAAAAAAGTAAAGTTGTTAAATATACTTACAACAGCAACAGATACAAAGAAAATAAGAAAACATCATGGGTAGAGGAGGAAAAAGTAAGTTTTCTACGACTTTTTTCATGAAGAAATTTTTCCGTAAATGGCGTAATAATGAAAAAGTAAATTCGTAGTGTTAATGCAGATTTTATTTCAATTTAAGTGCCATCAGAATTAAATGTTTTCTGAAACCTTTAAACATAAGATTCACTTGTTCAAGCAAATGAAATTTGTATGGATAATCAACTATTAAATTTGAGATGGATGAATTTATGAAGAATTTGCTTGAATCGGATTACATTTTGCTGGTGCAAAAATGAAACTTGGCCTACTACGTTTTTTTTCTTCTGATTATTTTCGTTTCTCGTGAACTTCGTTTTTTTTATCAGGATCAGTGATTGTTATGCTAAAACACAACCAATTTTCTCTCAAGAAAAGAAAAGTTTCAGAATTTTTTTGCCTGTAGTTTTATGACAGTAAATATTAGTTTTTATTACTAATCGACATATGGAACTCAGGCTTTTATTCTCCAGCTATTCATTTCATGCATTTTCATGTTTTTTTCTTGTTGCATCCTTCTCAAATTTCTAAAGTAAATAATAAATTTTGTGTAACTTTTCTCCATATTTTGTTACTCTGTATTATTTTATTTTGAATAGAAAAAAAGCAGCAAAATCAAGGTGAGGAAACACAGCAGCAGCAAGGAGCTCCCACGCAGCAGCCTCAACAACAACAGCGCGGTCCTCCACTACCACAACAGCAGCAACAAACCCAACAACGTGGGCCTCAAGTGCCTCAGCAGCAGCCCCAACAACAGCAGCAATGGGGTCCACCTCCACAGCAGCAGCATCCTCAACAACGTGGTCCTCAAGTACCCCAACAGCAGCAACAAACTCCACAACGTGGGCCTCAAGTGCAACAGCAAATTCCACCTGAAAGCCAACAAAAACAGGAGTCAGCTGCTCAATCTGAAGATCAACCTAAGAAGAAAAAAGGAAAAAAATATCCTTCGAAGAAGGAGGTTGAAGAAGCCGCAAGAAAAGCCGAAGAAGCTGCAAGAAAAGCTGAACAACCTCCACCATCGGAAGGTCCATCGCGTTCTGCTTCAA